GTTTTCAAGTTCAGATCGGATTACAGAGTTTTTGTTCGGATTAAAGAGGCATAGGCATCGACTTCAAATAGTCTCTGTTCGGATTACTGGATGTTGAGACAATCGTGAGTTCGGATTATAGAGGTTGTACTGTATTTACAAAATGAAATATGATTTCAAAATTTTGAAATTGGTCAAAATAAAGTACCTCGGTCGTGTGTCAGGGGGGGGCAATTGCACCCATTGCCCCCCCCCTGGATCCGCGCCTGAGATGGACCGTTATGAAAATTTTACTGCCACCTGTATTATTATTCAAGACAGACGTCAGGGTAAGTAGACAAGTTTACAACGGTGGGTGATTAAGCCCTCATAAAAATTAGTGGAAGTCAATAGACGGCTGAGGAAGACTCCGCACAAGTGTTCCGGTCAAAATAAACCTAACTACATCTTCATCTTATTATCCTTTGGTATTAGCGATCCGTTTTGTTTTCTACCTTAAAACTGTCGAAAATGAGAACACATTTTTATGAACTTCAAGTGTGTTTTATTAATTTAAAATAAAATGCATAGTTTTATCCATTTTTCTTAATTTCTGTTAATTATTATTAGTTTCTATATAAAATTCAGTAGTCAGGCAACTACTGCGATTCCGGAATTAATTTTTGTCTGGTTTTCAAGTTTGCCAAACATTTTTAAACAACGATGTTATGTATTTTTATTGATTACACTGTTTGTCGAGAGTGCGGTACTTACAGACATGACTTGGAAATACACTCAATATATTTTATACTAAAACCAAACGCTTTTTTCTTTGTATTCGTACTGTGTACGGCACAAAGGATGACTAAAAAAAAAATTAATGAAACAATTTATTTTATTGATTAATGGCTTACCTCATTTTCTTGAAATTTTAGAAAAATAGTACCTATTGTTGTTATTAGTATAACACTGTATATACTAAGGTTATTATTTGTGAGTTCTAATACAATTTTATGATCACTTGAGGGGTATGAGTCAGTTTCGCGCCCCGGTCAGAAAAATCTCCACAGGACAGTTGCGCGCAGCGGTCAGAAAGATTTGCATACAATTTGAAGAGTTAATACTATAAACAGTTATTGCCTGTCGGAGTCAGAGTAACCACTTAGCGGACAATTGTCCGAATTGCGAATAATTTTCTTGCTAGCGAATACTGTGCGGATCCTTTTAAACCCGGATAATTACGAACATTTTGTTAATAAAACACATAATACACAGATTTTATCTCAGTTCTATTTCTATCAAAATTCACTGTGAATTAACTTATGTAATGTCGGCATGTTGGCAATGATACAAATGTTCGTATAAAAATGGACAATTTGATAGATATTTGAGGATAATTCCTTTACGCGAAGTTGACAATACTGATCGTAGTAGTTTATGTGGATGCCACTTTAAAATAAATAAATACTCGGAGAAATAATTTAACTTTCACTCAATTCTACACGTATTTGTTAATTATTAAATATCAATGTATATAAAGATGAAAATATATTTTTTTAATATACGAGCATTTAGTTTGAATAACAAAAAGATGTTTCAAAATCGGAAAGAAAAATTTGGGGTTTCCATTTAAAATAATCGTTGGTGACGTCACTGTGCAAAAACGGCTGTTACAAAATATAAATGTTTACGTCAATGTCGTTTTAAAAAATTAAAAAAAATTAAATCCACCTGTCCCAGGACTTTTAAAAAAAAAAGTCAGTTTACGAAATTATGAGTTTTGCGACGAACATTATCAAGACTCTGTATAGGAATGTTCTTGCAAAAACGTTATCACAAAATTTTCTTGTGGAAACTCGCTTGAAACATACGCATGTAATTCGACAAGCAAGATAGATCTTTATTTTGACCTAAAATATTGTTAAATAAAACCTGTATAAAATGTACGAAATAATAATAAACAAAAAAAAAAAACTTCCCTCGCTTCTGAAGCACAGTACAATAAACCCAGATTTTTCGAAAAATTGACAACAATATAAGTTAAAATAAAGATAAGTGTGCAATGTTAAAATAAAGGTAAAGAAGCATGTTACACGTTGGTTTCAAGTGAGTTTATCAATATAAAATTTTGTGATGACGTCATCAACATTTTTGCAAAGACACGTATTAATTTGGATAAATTCATAGCGTAATACTAATAATAACAGTACTGTATTCCCAAATTTCTTGAAAACAGGAGTGAGTCTTTTTGAATTTATTCAATCAAATAAACTATGTCAGTCATGATTTTTTTTGAGTCACCTTGTATAAATAATTCTAAAAACTATGAGTGCACTGATACACCACAAGTACGCAGCCATACGATTTACCATTACTACGATAACCTTAAAACGTTTGCGAGATTTCAGAGCATTCGGTTTTATAGTTTCAAAGCTAAATTACAACATGTTATAGAATTTTTATTTAGAGGGAAGACGCGAGCCAATGGGCGACTTGAAGGTTACCCTCACTGGTCCGGTCCTTGGTAATTATTGTTGACACTTCAGAAGGAATCGAAAGTGCTGCACTTTTCTGTATAAATTGACCCTTTTCCTGTAAGATCGTAAAACTTCCATAGTGACTTTCCGTGCGCACGCATGTTCAAAACCACGTATCCGGCACTCCGGCAGCAGAGCAAAGGCCTGTGACAACAAACCGCTTTGACAGAATGCAACCAGCTACACATGCGTAATCTATCGCTCATTGGTTAATTTTAACTTGGCGCTCCAAAAATCTGACTTCGCCTGCGCGATGTTGTCTCACTCTGTATCATTGGAATTTATATAATGTCTACTCACTTTGCTTACAGGAAAAGGGTCAATAGAAATGTTGCTCAAATTTTTAAAAGTCAATTGGGCTGAGACTACATTATCTCTGTTATTTTAATACTTGTTCAGACTTCTATCTGATTATTTTCTATCTATTTTCCTATCTAAATGCACAAAATATTGTGTATCTACACTTGTGGTTTATTAATACATTCATGCATCCAATTGTTTTTTTCAAATGACGCATACGTTAGGATTTCCCAAAAAATTTAAGAAATGAAATTTGGGAAACACTAAAATAAAATTGTATAATTTAAATAAAATTTTGTGATGACGTCATCAACATTTATACACGGTTACGTGTATCAATTTGGATAGATGCAGTGTAATAATAATAGAAACAATATGCATTCTCAAATTTTCGAAAAAATGAAGTGAATCGTTCCCAATTTAACCAATAAAATAAATTGACTCATTTATTAATTATTTTGAATCATCTCGTATAAGCAATTGTAAAAAATATGAAATTTTGAGATGACGTCATCAATTTGTTGGAGGGATAAACAGATACATTTTATTTAAAAACTTACCAAGCTTTACAATAAATTTAAAACGCCTGCAAGGTGTCAGAGCGTTCTGTTTTGCAGTTTCAAAATTGAATTACAAAATGTTGTCATACAACTGTGAAATTGAAATCAAATCGGATTCATAAACTATATGTATATTTGTGTATTTTACTTTGTAAACTTTTAAACACATTTATTATGCACAATTTTGAGATGACGTTATCACTTGTTGGTGGAGACGACGAGACAAAATTTAGTTAGCGTTTTACCATCTGCACGATATTTATAATTATAACACACATTTGACAACAATCGGTGAGGCAGTTTCGGAGACAGACAATAAAATAATTTTATATCTGGAGTTCTATTCTAGATATGTACGCCATAAAAATGTCATAACCATAACTATAAATTAGAACCAAATTTGGTCATGTTTGCAGTTTGCTTCTCAAGATAACGATATTGTTTTTCTTTACTAGATGAAGAGTATAAAGAAAGGCATATTATATTTTGTACAAAAAAGTATTGTGGACTTATTAAAAAAATCACGTAAAGCGATTAAATTATTTTATATAATATCGAAAAAGTGGGAAGAAAAGTTGTGCATGAAAACTCTTTAATTGTTTTCAGTCAAACACCGACCAATAAAAGTGATATATTTACTGTGTATTGTGCAAAAATCATAAATAATCTCTTTTAGGACAAATTTTCCAATTTCGTATCTTCTTATATTATAATTGTCCGATAATTCAAATTGCACATACCGTATATTATTATATACTTAATTATTGTTAGTGTAGTTTATCTGATATTCTTCATTTGTCGAGACAAAAGCGGCAGTATTTTTGTAATAAATTAACTGTTACTGTGTATGTACCTACTCAAAACGTAAATAAAAAACGAAATAATATACATATTTTATTAATATCATCTATAAAATATCTCATATAAAATAATACAATATCTATAAAAAGTTCGTTTTATAGTCAGGCCAGCTGTATGTACAAGTTGATAAACGTCCGATAATTGCTCACAACCTACAGATGTAAGGTCACATTATTATTTATAACTATTATAGTTATGTACAAACCTTTGAAAGCAAATAAAATTACGTTTATAAATCACATTATGAATTGCAATATACTGAATACAAAACTGTGTTCATGTACATAAATCATATTTGTTATACAACCATATGAAACTTGTAAAATCAAGTAAAATAAATTAATAAATAAAAGGGCAGTAGGTATGATAAAATTTTTAACAATATAATTGTTAAATTACAAAATTAATAAAAAATATGGCAAAGGAAGACATGGATGATAAATATATAATTAAATTATGATAGTTGTCTCGTTATCCTGTTTAGGGCTGTTTTAACAAGTAAAATAGCTGCCTTCCGTTTTTGGCACGTTTTTCCTTCTTATCCTCTATAAAAGGCACACAAGTAAAATAGATACTGAGCAATAACATTTCATGTACTAAACCTAAGTATAATTTGAACAATAGCACCCTCAATTATCATTATTTCTAAAGACCTAATTCTTGATAAGGCAATACACGTTGGAGGCCATTCCAGATATGTTCGTTATTGCTTGGTACGTTTATTAGACTCTGAGGCATCTTCAGTTTTCCACCAGTTTCATAATGAAACAACGACAAACAAGTCCTATCTCACCATTTGCGTATGTTTTATGGTTTCGTTTTTTTGTCGTAGTTCGTCCGCCTGTTTTAACCATTTCTGCACTTGCCGTCGGTGGATGTTGTATTTCGTGGCCACCGCCCTCTGATTACCTTTACACACGGAATCCTGGTAATAGCACTCGATAGCGCTGAGTTTGAAGTCCAAACTATAGCTGTGTCTCTGCTTCAGAGGGCTCGCACTGTGGATGTAGTTCGGATCATCGTACGAGGCACAGAAGGAGCCGATCTCGTAGTCCGCGCCATGGTACGTCGCTGCCGGAAACGCGTAATAGTAGGACGTCGTGGTGGTGGTAGTCGGCGTCGTGGCGCCCTTAGGCTGCAACTCGTGCAGCGTGTACGTGCCGTACTCCGTCTTGACGTCGCATACGACATTATTGTTGTTGTTATAGTAATAGGTCGCGTCGCAGCCGACCAACGCCTGGCTGCAGCAGGGCGGCAGGTCCGGCTTCCTGGGCACGTCGTCGACGTCGTCCAGGTACGGCTTGAACAACTTGACAGGCTTGGGGGCGGCGGGCGCCGGATGGCGCGGCTTGGTGGAGAGGTCCCATACGTCCGGGTGCGGCGCGGCCAGACCGAGCGGCGACGGCACGCGGAGTGGGGACGGGGGGCAGGCCGCAGGTGCGCTCGGCGCGGGCCGCTTGAGCGACAGGTCCATGGGCGCGGGGTCCGGGGTGCGGGCGCGCGTGGTGAAATCGAGGGGCGCGGGCGCGGGGGCCGCGGCCTCGTCGTCAGGCTGTCTGGCGCTGCGCTCGCCCTTGCCCACGCTGCTGCGCAGGTTGCCCTCCACCTGGAGCCACTTCTGGATTTGGCGCCGGTGGATGCCGTACTTGCGGGCCGTCGCCCGCTGGTTGCCCTTGCAGTCGGCGTCGTTCCTGTACGAGTCCAGCACTTGCAGTTTGAAGTGTGGGGCGAAGATGCGGCGGGACCCGATGCCAGCCTTGCCCTCGCCCTTGCAGCCCACGCGTTTCAGCACAGAGTTCAGGCCGTGGGCCATAGTCACTCCGCGGCACAAATCACGCACCAGACCGAATTTACCCTCGAAAAAACAACGAAAATAGCGCGCTTTAACTTTATCTGCGACCTATGTAGCAACCATTTTCGTCACGATTCACAGAAAACCCCCACTCCCGCTGACTAAACTGTATTCTCACGTTTGCCATCAAAAGGGACCTGAAGTATATTTTAACACTCGAGTGCCGACGTACGCAATACTGCTCGTTTCCTTCCCATCAGAGCGAATACCCTTCGAATGCCGCCAACGTACGTCCGATACGGTTCGATCGAATGGGAGGCACCGACATCCGTTTATGAAACAAGTTTACGAGCGCCGTTGCCGAATTTTCACGTTTTTTACCTACTTTTTCTCGGCACTTTTCACTGTCATTTTTAACACTGATTCACTCGAACAAACTGCTTGGATCATTTTCGTTGTTATTTAGATGGATTTACGACGCGTCGAGTGCGAGAAACTACGAGCAACATAATGGAATGCGATAAACTGGCAACTGCGCAACTGGTCACGCCAGACAAGCTGTCGCCAAGCCAGCGAGGCCAGACAACGCGTCTCTCTCCCAGCTCCCTTTTCTTTTCATTCATCAGCAAACAGATGGCAATACTTGTTTTTATTACCTTTCATTGCGATTTAGATATCTTGCACAGATCATACAAAATCTAGATTCTGGGACGATTGGCCACATAAATTTTATTTTTGAAGATTTTAACGAACGCATTTTTTTTCATTATAACATTACCCTACTGTGGTAGTGTTTCAATTACCTTACTGATCTGAAAAAGTGATTTTCTACCGAGTGAACAGGAAAATCTGGACGTCCACTTTGGACATGTGATGTACAAAATTTTTTCGGTGATCATACGAGTATATCTTACACATTTTTAAACGCGTTCACGGACGTTTCACAATTATTTGCCAACCCTAAATACCATAATGAAAAAGATTTAAACTTATACTGTACAAATTAGAAGGATTCAGTACATAAAAAATATTTAATTTTGCTAGAAAATTTGTAATTTACAATGTACCCAACGTCACTGTGATCCGTTTTATGCAGCTGTCGAAGCCTGTAACATGCTCTATTGACCAATAGATGTTGATAAATAATTATATTTTTCACTGAATTTTCTAAATAACTCTTTGCTACCGCAGAGTTTTTCCATTCTCCATATCTAGTCGTTATCAAAGCCACTGAATTTTTCCGCAACATGTCGCCAGTATAGTAGTAGTTGTTGTAATACACACAGGTAATACACTAAAGAGATTGCTACTTCATCAGGAATTTTCACTATGGTGTGGATACCCAAAGGTTGCTCAATTCATTTTCCAATGTACCAGTTCAGGAAAAACCCGTGATGACCTACATTTGGTAGTCTCAAAGCCAAACATTTCTGGCTTATATACCTTTACAACCGGTAATTATAAAAGTTCTGCAAATCTTGATTTAAGTATTATTCCCTTGTCTTCTGTACTGTTAATTTTCATATCTAAAAGTTCTTGTCGGTGGTACGCTTTACATCAGCTACAAATTCACCTGTAATACATAAAAAATTACAGTTACGTAACATTATAAGCAAATTATTACAGGTATTACCTTCGTCATTAAATATTCCCAATTAAGTGCTTCCAAAAGAAACAAACTGATTTCACTTATTAAAATAAAAAAAATACATAGCGTTCTTAAACTAATAACAAAATATTTTTCACTTCAGGTAGGCTGTCACTCTTAAACTTATGACTACTTTAGTTAACATCATTAAATTCAAAAACTTTTCGAACTTTTATATTAGTAACTATTTCAGAAAAACATTCTCTTTCTAACGTTTTATCGCACACATTCTCCAGGATTTTGTATATTTTTTCGTCATGTTTCTTTTTCAGTGGCACATAATTTTATGTTTTCATTGTTGCGACAAACTAATTGATGGAAAATGAAGCTGTTATTACTTCCTTAAGACTCTGTGTCTCACATTTTCTCCTCTCTTGTAGGTATATAAGAATTTTTTTGCTTTTATTCATTACTTTATTAACATTTTATGTCATGTGGCCTAGAAGCTGAAAAATTGTAGTTTTAAATACAAAATTGGTCGAAAGTTCTTTCGACAGAACTTCCCTCGCCTCTGAAGTACAATGAAACATATTCAGCATTTTCGAAAAATTATAAAAGTTGATTTTGCAAATTTTATTTTATTCATGAGAACCTGTATAAGTTGAAATAAAAATTTATACATGTAATGTTAAAGTAAATGTAAAGAAACGTGCTACATAGCCATATCGTAATGACGTCATCAACATTTTTGCAAGGAGGCGTATATGAATTTGGATTGGTGTAGTGTAATACTAATAATAACAGTATTACATTCCCAAATTTTCGGGAAAAAGGAGTGAGCCGCTCTTGATTTGTGCAATAAAATAAATTGATGCGTTCATTAAATTTTTTGAGCCACCTGCGTAAGCAAACCTAAAAAATATGAATGCAATGATAAATCATAAGTATAGAGTGATAATATTTTTCATAATTCAGAGAGGATTTATTCGATAACATTTTTTGGAAGGGGATAAATTAATACATTTTGATTATCGATTTACCATGATTACAATAAGTTTCAAACGTTTGCAAGATTTCTAAGTATTCGCTTTTGCAGTTCCTGATTTATTCAATAAAATAAAGTGACTCACATTAATTTTTTGAATCATTCTGTATACGCAAGTCAAAAAAATATTAATGCAGTGATAGTTCATAGTAAATAATACTTCAGTTAAACAACAATAGAACAAATAGTTAGAAACTCGAAGAAAAATAAGTGAACATGTGGAAAGTATATTGGATATGTCGCTGATTCAAGAAGGAAAATACTAACTTACCAAAGAACCGAAACACCAAAAGAATTATATTATTTTATACCCTATATTTTAATATTAATATAAATATACATATAATTGCAATTCATGTTTCCAAAAAGCGTCTAATAGTTATTTGACGAAGGTGACGATTTTCTCGTGCGGCTGTGACGTGGTCACAACTTTCGGCAGCTCATTTCTTTGATTGGGTGTTTTTCAAACCACGATGGTATCAGAGAAGAAACATTTCGATTAGTTCTAAAGGATAACTCTTACCTCTTCTAAAAGACGTCCCAGCTGATGATATGCGCTAATTTCAATTTAACTATCTAACAAAACATTAAAGAATCTTGAAAAATGTGTTTGAATTAAATCAAAGATAATTCACATCAGCCTATGCATATATATTTTTTTAAGTAGTCTGGTAGAAATGATTTTCCTCGCTCTTGGAAACGCGACCTACCGTACGTAAGGGTGGTTTAATTTTTTTTTTTAATTTGTAAGCTTATCTTAAATATGGCTAGATTAGTACATCACACCTATAGATGCATATTATTTCGTAGATTTTAAATAGGATTAAATAAACCCATACGCCGCCCCGGTACGACGCCTATGAGTTCTAGTATGTCCGGCGATGATGACTCATTGTCGGTGACTGCGGCCTGAGAAGAGCCGGGAAGCGGAAGTGGCGAATGGGTGCTCCAGACAAGTCTAGAAGCAGTGATGGAGGCGTTTCGAGAAGGACCGCGTGCTGTTTAAATGGGAAACCACCGTCGGAAGCAGTTAGTGAAGTCCAGACAACGGGAGCAGAGTCTAGTTAAATCCATTCCAGTCGAGGCGGAATTATTTTGTACATAATCGCTGTGTAATCAGTCGTGTAAATTCGAGTTATTAAGAAATAAATTGTTTAGTTTTACCCACGCCGATTCAACGTAACATCTGTGTTAGAATATTTTATTAAACAAAAGTAAGCGTTTTGTTGTGGTATGAATAAAATTGAGTTTTTCATGTTTTTTTTTTGTTAATAGAACAGCCTCTATGTATTTTTACTATTTCATCCTACTGTGCTTTTTTGTTAAATGTTGTTTAAATCTAAAAATAATAGTTTCTAGGATTTATCACTTTATTAAGGAACATATTTACTAACATGTTGAAAAAAATAGTAGAATAAAAAACGGAGTGAGATGCAGTAATAAAATATAGGTCTTTTTCTATTTGAACAAGCTGAAATATCGATATTTGAAAATGATAATATACGATGTTAAAAATAGCTCTGTTGCAATTTCAAGGAAATTGGAATAACCTGACAACATCGCATAGGTGGTTCAAAAATATACTAAACTCACTTGACATACACCTAGTAAAACTTTTGATTTAAACGGCTTAAGCCAAACCATCCTTACAAATCAAACTGTGTATTGCAAGCTTTATGGAACCGAACCGTAAGGATTATTACTGTCCATTATTGCCACAATGGAGCTGTAAAGTTTTACTAGGTATATGTCAAGTGAGTTAAGTTATACAATAGCCAGTTTTACTGATACGGGTGGTTTGGCTTAAGCCTCTTAAGTCATAAAAGTTTTACTAGTAGGTATATGTCAAGTGAGTTTAGTATAAACTATGGTTATAAAAACCTACGAATGGTTACTCTGAATTTTACATACTACATCTATGAAATAGAACACTTCATATAGTTAAAAATAATTTTAGTGTATGCTACTTTATTTTACTATTTCTAATAATTAATGAAATGTCGAGAACTGCGCACTTATTAGTAGTACGTCACCTATATGTGTAGATAGTTTGTTTCATACCCGTGCCCATGTTTTTAATTTGGAAATCTCAAATTTTGTTTGAGAATTTAATTGTAGATATACTGCTGAGAAATGTTACATTATTAATAAAATCGGTGAAATTTACGTACTTATCTGCTCAAGGGTCATTGTATTCTCCAAGCACCGTAATACTAATTTATTTCACGATAAAATTTAGAATATCATTAAATGATCAAAAATCATCTAAAACAATTTTCACATTTTCAAAAGTAGAAAAGTTCCTACCTTAATCCTTGTGGCAGATCATTTTTCTATCGGATAATTTTAATTTTAAAATATTTCAGTATTTGTCTGGTCTGGTCTAAA